GCTTTTAAATATCAAAGCAAAGCGTGTGCAGCAGGATTGTCGGATTTCGCGACGGCATGGAGGTCGAGCACTGCTGCAACGCAGGCCAAATGCGTTTAGCAGGCCTCGGGAAATGCATTTGGGCTCGGTTTGAAGCTTCCGGAGTTACAACCCGGGACTTCAACCAGCAGGGGCGTTAGCAAGGCTGAGAAGCTGGAAAATACGCTCTTAAAGGCTTGAGAAATGCGTTTGGGTGTGTTGGCGACCCATGCAAAGCGCGTGCAGCAGGATTTTCGGGTTTAGGAACGGCATTCAGGTCCAGATCTGCTGCAACGCAAGCCAAATGCGTTTACCAGGCCTCGGGAAATGCATTTGGGCTCGGTCTGAAGCTTCGGGAGCTGAATTACAGCCCGGGAGTGGGACAAGGCTGAGAAAGCTGTAAAATGCGTTTTCTCAAGCTTGAAATGTGTGTTTAGGGCCGTTGGAGACCCAAGCAAAGCGTGTGTAGCAGGATTTTCGGGTTTAGGGGCGGGAATGCGTTTACCAGGCCTCGGGAAATGCATTTGGGCTCGGTTTGAAGCTGAGGTGAATTACAGCCCGGGACTAGGACCAGGAGGGGCGTTTGCAAGGCTGAAAAAGCTGTAAAAGGCGGCTTTCAAGGCTTGGACAATGCATTTGGGCCGTTGGAGACGAAAGTAAAGCGTGTGCAGCAGGATTTTCGGGTGCAGCGACGGCATGGAGGTTGCAAATGCGTTTAGCAAGCCTCGGGAAATGCATTTGGGCTCGGTCTGAAGTGGGAACAGGAGGGGCATTAGCAAGGCTGAGAAAGCTGCATTCTGCACTTGTCAAGGCTGGGAGGCTCGATTTGAAGCTTCGGAGGTGAATTACAATCTGGGGTTGGGACCAGGAGGGGCATGAGCAAGGCTGAGAAAGTTGTAAAGTGAGGTTTCCAAGGCTTGGACAATGCATTTGGGGCTGTTGGAAACCAAAGTAAAGCGTGCGCAATAGGATCTTCAAACTCAGGGACGGCATTCAAGTCCAGATCTGCTGCAACGCAGGCCAAATGCGTTCACCGTGCATCGGGAAATGCATTTGGGCTCGCTTTGAAGCTTCGGGCGCTGAATTACAGCCCGGGACTGGGACCAGGAAGGGCATTAGCAAGGCTAAGAAAGCTGTAAAATGCGGCTTTCAAGGCTTGGACAATGCATTTGGGGCCGTTGGAGACGAAAGTAAAGCGTGTGCAGCAGGATTTTCGGTTGTAGGGACGGCATTCAAGTTTAGATCTGCTGCAACGGAGGCCAAGTGCGTTTAGCAGGCCTCGCGAAATGCATTTGTGCTCGGTCTGAAGCTTCGGAGCTGAATTACAGCCGGGACTAGGACCAGGAGGGGCGTTTGCAAGGCTGAAAAAGCTGTAAAATGCGGCTTTCAAGGCTTGGACAATGCATTTGGGCCGTTGGAGACGAAAGTAAAGCGTGTGCAGCAGGATTTTCGGGTGCAGCGACGGCATGGAGGTTGCAAATGCGTTTAGCAAGCCTCGGGAAATGCATTTGGGCTCGGTCTGAAGTGGGAGCAGGAGGGGCATTAGCAAGGCTGAGAAAGCTGCATTCTGCACTTGTCAAGGCTGGGAGGCTCGATTTGAAGCTTCGGAGGTGAATTACAATCTGGGGTTGGGACCAGGAGGGGCATGAGCAAGGCTGAGAAAGTTGTAAAGTGAGGTTTCCAAGGCTTGGACAATGCATTTGGGGCTGTTGGAAACCAAAGTAAAGCGTGCGCATCAGGATCTTCAAACTCAGGGACGGCATTCAAGTCCAGATCTGCTGCAACGCAGGCCAAATGCGTTCACCGGGCATCGGGAAATGCATTTGGGCTCGCTTTGAAGCTTCGGGCGCTGAATTACAGCCCGGGACTGGGACCAGGAAGGGCATTAGCAAGGCTAAGAAAGCTGTAAAATGCGGCTTTCAAGGCTTGGACAATGCATTTGGGGCCGTTGGAGACGAAAGTAAAGCGTGTGCAGCAGGATTTTCGGTTGTAGGGACGGCATTCAAGTTTAGATCTGCTGCAACGGAGGCCAAGTGCGTTTAGCAGGCCTCGCGAAATGCATTTGTGCTCGGTCTGAAGCTTCGGAGCTGAATTACAGCCGGGAGTGGGAGCAGGAGGGGCATTAGCAAGGCTGAGAAAGCTGTAAAATGCGGTTGTCAAATCTCGGACAATGTATTGGGGCTGTTGGAGACGAAAGTAAAGCGTGTGCAGCAGGATTTTCGGTTGTAGGGACGGCATTCAAGTTTAGATCTGCTGCAACGGAGGCCAAATGCGTTAACCAGGCCTCGGAAATGTATTTGGGCTCGGCTTGAAGCTTCCGGAGGTGAATTACATCCCGGGACTGGGGCCAGGAGGGGCATTAGCGAGGCTGAGAAAGCTGCAAAATGCAGTTTTCAAGGCTTGGACACTCGGGAAATTCCTGTGGGCTCGGGTTCGGTTTGAAGCTTCCGGAGCTGAATTACAGCCCGGGGTTGGGGCTGGGGCTTTTAAATATCAAAGCAAAGCGGCAAAGCGTATGCAGCAGGATTGTCGGATTTCGCAACGACATGGAGGTTGAGCACTGCTGCAACGCAGGCCAAATGCTTTTACCAGGCCTCGGGAAATGCACTTGGGCTCGGTTTGAAGCTTCCGGAGCTGAATTAACCCGGGACTTCAACCAGCAGGGGCGTTAGCAAGGCTGAGAAGCTGGAAAATACGCTCTTAAAGGCTTGTGAGAAATGCGTTTGGGTGTGTTGGCGACCCAAGCAAAGCGCGTGCAGCAGGATTTTCGGGTTTAGGGACGTCATTCAGGTCCAGATCTGCTGCAACGCAAGCCAAATGCGTTTACCAGGCCTCGGAAAATGCATTTGGGCTCGGTCTGAAGCTTCGGGAGCTGAATTACAGCCCGGGAGTGGGACAAGGAGGCGCATTAGCAAGGCTGAGAAAGCTGTAAAATGCGTTTTTTCACGCTTGAAATGTGTGTTTAGGGCCGTTGGAGACCCAAGCAAAGCGTGTGCAGCAGGATTTTCGGGTTTAGGGGCGGGATTCAAGGTCCAGATCTGCTGCAACGCAGGCCAAATGCGTTTACCAGGCCTCGGGACAGTTTGAAGCTTCGGGAGCTGAATTGCAAAGAAGCCCTGGACGCCTAAACCTTACACCCTGACGCAGCATCTCCATGATAGGAAGAGCCGACGGCGAAGGTGTCAAATGACCACCGGAACCTGCTTCGGAACATGCTCCGGAACCGCTCCGGTACCTGCCGGAAGCTCTACCGGAACTTGCCCCGCAACATCACCGGAACCTGCTGCGGAACCTCACCGGAACCTGCCCCGGAACCGCTCGGAACCTGCCCCGACCTTCCCCCGCAACATCACCGGAACTTGCTTCGGAACCTCGCCAGAACCTGCCCGGAACGCCGGAACCTGCCCCGGAACTTGCCCCGCAACATCACCTGAACCTGCTTCGGACCTGCCCGGAACCTCCCCGGAACCTGCCGGAACCTGCCCCGGAACTTGCCCCGCAACATCACCTGAACCTGCTTCGGACCTGCCCGGAACCTCCCCGGAACCTCCCCGGAACCTGCCGGAACCTGCCCCGGAACTTGCACCCGAACTTCCCGAACTTCCCCCGCAACATGACCGGAACCTGCTTCGGAACATGCCCCGGAACCGCTCCGGAACTGCCGGAACCTGCCGGAACCTGCCCCGGAACTTGCCCCGCAACATCACCGGAACCTGCTTCGGAACCTCACCGCAACCTGCCAGAACCTGCCCCGGACTGCTCCGGAACCTGCCGGAACCTGCCCCGACCTTCCCCCGCAAGATCACCGGAACTTGCTTCGGAACCTCGCCGGAACCTGCCTGGAACCTGCCGGAACCTGCACCGGAACTTGCCCCGCAACATCACCGGAGCCTGCTTCGGAACCTCGCCGGAACCCGCCCCGGAACCTGCCCGGAACTTGCCCCGCAACATCACCGGAACTTGCTTCGGAACCTCGCCGGAACCTGCCCCGGAACTTGCCATGGGCCTCCCCCAATCTGCCCCAAACCTTATTTCGGCTAAAGACCCCAGAGCTTACGCTGTTGGGGAAAAATCAATAATACATAACCATAAAAAAAAGAAGAAGGATAACAACAGCCACAAGAAGAATAACAAGAAAAGTAAGAGTAACAACAACAACAACAACAACCACCAAGGTAACGTCGGTTTCTCTCGGACAACAACAACAACAACCAAGGTAACGCAGGTTTTCGTCAGGAAAACGCGGGAGGTGGCGCGAAATCCGTCCAACATGTAAGGACAACTGTCGTTTCCCTAGGAAAACCAGGGTAACGTAAGTTTTCCTGAAGGTAACGTAGGTTTTCCTGAGGAAATATCTAGGGGAATTGGCACCAAATCCGTCCGTCAAAAATGTGAGGGAATTCGTGTTTCCCAAGGAAAAACCCGAAAAAGGAAATCCACCCCCTTCCCTCCCTCCGTCCCTCCCTCCCTCCCGTCCGCTGAGACCAACAAGCGCACAAAATAAAAAAAAAAACAGACATTTTTGCATCCATTTAGGATCGTCACCACAGCTTCAACGATGCCGTGAGAGGTTGCCTTCCGAGCCACCTCATCCACCGTGCAAGTTTCGAACACGGAACGAGCCAGCAAAAAACCCATGCAGTCGTATGCCACAGCCAAATAAGGCAAGAAGGGTCTTTCGTCAAGTTTAGACGTCATGCATTGCAATGTTCCCGAATGCGCAAGAGTTCTCTCTTCAAGGGTTCTGCGACACGGGTCCTGGAATGTGTCTAGTTGCGGGGCAATTACACGCGAGGCGTACGCAGGAGGGTCCGAATTTCGGCAAACTGCTGGAAAATTGCACAAGAAGCGGTGGCAAACCACCGGCAACTTGCACACGAGGGGGACTGCGGCAAGCAAAGGGAAGGCCTGAATGTGGCCAGCTAAGCGAGAACGCATTCGGTATCGAACAAAGTCTCCGCCTTCAGCAAGATCTCAACGCCATGGGTGTTTCACATTCCACCCACTTGGGATGGAAGATCCGCAGCGCTCAGGTTGGTGTCAGCGACAGAAACAGCGTGACGCCTTGGGACCTTGTCGAGGCCGCGGGCGTTCCCCAGCTTTAGTCACGGCTAGTCAGCGACTATCGCTGGTGCACGCTGTCTCCGCACGCGGCCCCTTCGTGCAGGAGTGCTGGAGGGAAGACCTGGAGCCCATCAGCAAGCGAAGATTGGCCGTCTTGGACCCGCTGGCGGTAGCGCTTTGCTGGCATTCGGCAAAGACAGCCCAGTGCGGTCTCTATTGTGGTTCGTTGCCCAGGAGATCGTTGATTATGACAAGGAGGAAGAGATTGCAGGCGTCACCGATCTTCCGGAGCAGTCTGCGGCCGACCCTAGCTGCACCCGCACTCTCAGCTGCCATGCTTAAAATCAGATGGCTTCCGGACGCTTGGGCATCGAGCTGAAGCCATCTCAACCGGTCGAGTCAGGTTTCTCCCGCAACGTATTTATTGACCGGTCTGACTACCAGGACCGGAGCTCAAACGTTGGTTTGTAAACAGATTTTCTTGATCTTTGCTCGAAGCGTGAGGAGAATCCGCCTGAAGGCTATTTTCGCTTGGGAAAAATCGGCAGCGAAGTCAAGCTGAGATATTCGTACGTGCCTTGCCACTACTGTCCAGAGCTGCAAGATGAACAGAAGCGATGCAGGATATAGCCAGACTACTCCAGCTGCCAGCGAGGTCATCAAGCTAGAAGAGGTCGTCAAGGATGCTGCGGGTAAAGTTGTGAAGCTGAAATGCAGCCTGCTTGCTGCACTGGCCACTGATGCTGGCTGCTCTAAAGCCTGCCTTTTTCGAAGGTCATGATCCCAGCACCCGAGACATCATGCCTGCGGACCGGAAGCCCAAAGTCATCCACTGGGTCAACGCCAAAGAGCCTTGGCGAAGTACCGCGCGTCTGCGCTATGACATGCTCTGCCCCGAGCCACGGCCTCCAAGGATTGCTTGGATGCCGAGGCCCTTTCGATCTTTGTGGGGGGGCGGGGCGAATGGCGGATGGCCCGGGCTTTTGCCGCGGTTTGCTTTGTGCTTGCCTCTCGCCCGTCGCAGGTCCGTTTGATCAACCCTCTCTTTTTACCAATCCCGGATCCTCTGCCGGAGGGCAAGGACTGGGTCGAATACATGAATCCCGAAGCCTGGGTTCAATGCGCTGCCAAAGTCGAGAGAGCACTTGGCCAATGCGTTTTAGAAGATCGCTTCCAGTTCGAGCGCTGCGGCTACTTTGTTGCTTGGAAGCACTTAAGCCCTTCTTTGCAGCATGTTGCAGCTTTGAGCAATTGCGCTGAGCGAACGTCTGAGGCGCCTGACTACGATTGCTTTCTCACACCTCCCAAGCTTACCTTCAACCGGGTGGTGCCTTTGAAAGAGTCCTCAGACAAGAAGAAGCTCGAGGGACGAGGCAACGACGTAACGAGAGAGATTCTGGGCTTGTGCGAGCTTGATCTGCCGAGGCGCAGCCAGCAGAAAAGATGCTCAGGCAGCTGCAGCAGCTGAAAAGGAGCGACTGCAAAAGCTTCCACCCGAGGAGCAGTGCTGACTTCAGCATAAGTTCTCTTCTAAGAAGCTAAGACGGTATCCAGATCATGCTACGGACGCTGGACACACGAGATTCACCATTTCTCTGCCATAATATGCAGTGCATGCCGAGCGCTTGCTGGGATGCAGGAATATTTCAAGCAAGAAAGAGGCATCCGTGCTCCCTTCCGTGCATACATGCTTCCTTGTTTTGCTTTTTGCTGAGAGCATTCTCAGGCTCGGAGTTTTCCGCATACGACGAGACGGGCCTGCCCACGCACGACAGGGACGGCAATGCGCTGCCGAAGAGCGCCGTTAAGAAGCTGGCCAAGGCAAGCCGGCGGAAAACGGCAGAGGGGTGCTGCCTCTACTTCTCGTGCTGTGCCGCAGGATCTTGAAAAGCAGAAGAAGCTGCACGAGTCCTGGCAAGCATCGCAGAAGTCTTGAACGAGCCAACCACTGGCCCAGTGTACAGGAAACCTATGGACAGAGATTAAAACAACCTGCTGCTGCTCGCATCTGCGCGCATGCACGTGCACTCGGGAGGCCGACATACTGCTCACTATGTTTATGTCACCCCGCTGCTTCTTGCCGAAGCACAAAGCATCAACCAACGATGGATCAGACGACCCACTAGCGGCTAGCATGCATTGCCACAACGGCTCTTGCGGATCCGATACGGCCTGCCCGAAGACGTAATCCAGATCTTGCCTCAAACCTGTCCTTGGCAAATCGCTCCACCATGTCTTCTGTTGGGCGCATGGATGGAGCATTCTTTGTATCCAGGACTGGTGTGTTTCTTGTGACTTTGCCGTTTGTCTACAGTGTCCCGCCAGGACAGAGTTGCTTGCATGGCTTAACAGCAGCTTTCAGCCAGGGACCCGGCATCCAACAGTCTGAAGACGAAATCGCAGCGTCTGAGCGTCGGAGCGTCGGAGCCCTGAGGCTCAGCCTGGACAAGGCGCTTGAGCCGGCGGTTGCCAAATGCACTGGCCTGGCCCCAGCCATGACAATGACCCAGGTGGAGCAATGCGCGAATGGCGCGGTGTACTGCCAGGCGCTGGCACGACTAGGCCTAGGCGTCCTAGGCCGTTCATTTCGTGCTCCCCTGCCTGCGTCAGATCATTGATGCGTGCCATCCTGGAGTCCTAGCCCGAGCAGCGCAAAGAAGAGTACACTGTCGATACTTGATCAGTGCTGAGAGCTAAGGCCGTTTCCATGAAGAGGGTGAATTGGATGGCCGTCGCCTCATCGTGCTGCCCATGCTCGTAAGCCGTGGTGCTTGTCCCAGCAGTGTAACAGGCAAGGGACGAGCATCAGTGCATCCCTAACTACAAGGCAGCCGGGCCGACAGCTGCTGGAGCGCTCCAGAGCTGTTCTGTGTCTGCAGGTGTTGCAGCAGGCTTTCAGCAAGGTAGGAATCCAACGGCACATAGAGGCCAGCGCCACGGACAGAGACTCCTTGGTCTGAAGAGCATGATTAGGCGAACTCGGTTTTGCCCCCTGCCCCGGGTGTGTTTTCTGAGGTTGACAAGTTGGTGCGTGGCAAGTATCAGGACAATTTGGAGCCTCAGTTGCCCTGAGCAGTTTCACCAGAAGAAGGGGGAGCTTCTGTGACCATGCCAAGGAAATGCTTCAGTGGATAAAGAATTACTTCGAACGCACCTTTCAAGGCCGCCCTGCAGCGGTTTTGTGCGTTTTTGATCGGGCACATTTCTGTTAGGCGCTAGTTACAATGCGGCAGCGCGCCGCTTCACCGACAACGTGCCGGACTGGGCGAGGCTTCCTGGCCCGACAGCAGCTGGATGCTTGCGTTGCGTCCGCGTCTGCGTTGCGCGTCTTGGTTGCGCCGCTGGTCCGTGTAGGCCATCAGAGGGCTCCAGCGTTGCGCCACTCCGGCGGCCGCTGCCAGTGAGCAGCGGCAGTGTGAACGCGTTGGCCTCCAAGGCCCTAGAGCCGGAAGGGTCCCAGACGGCGCGGCGCGTGGACATTGCCCGAGGCGCCGAAGCACGGTCGCCCTGTGGCCTGGCACCTACACAGATTCCAGTGCAGCCTGTCGTCGAGAGCCCTTCACGACCAGGGAGGTGATGGATACCAGCGCAATCAAGCTCCCAACGTGGCTCTTCTTCAGGAGACAGTCTGGTCTAAGCTGTGCCCGTTTCCAAAGGATGCATTCCACACATCCCGTAAAGAGCTGTCTCGGCCCACAGCAAGAAGAATCGACTTTCACATGGGAGCAACCCAATCAGGGATGTTGGACTCGGGGAGGCAAGGCTGTGCATCTCCGGCTCTCCTCTTTCCAGGTGCTGTCGTTGTATCGGCTGCAAACGAGGTTAAACTCACATGAGGTCTTTTCGTGACCTTCTTCTTATTACAGGTTCTGCAAACGTGAGACGTGATTTCTTGGGCATGCAGGCATTGAGTTGTTGCGTGTGCTGCAGGTCTTCTGCCGGCTACAAGGAAGCAGGAGGTGCGATAGCAGCACTATGCGACTGTGAGGCAGAAAGGGCCATTTGCAGCTTCCTGTGCGAGGCGACGTTACTTCCCTTAGCCTCAGCTCTCGCACAATCCTGGAGCCATCTGGAAAGCATGAGGTGCACTTGAAGAACCCTCTGCAGCACTGTGCATTAAGCTGGGAGCAGTGATTTATGACTTCACCGTGGCAGGGGACGGTGTTCTGCTTCCATGGATTGGGCGACGATAGCAGCTATTGGGTGCCCTTCTTCGAAGCGATGAGGCGCCTGAGCTCTGTGGGCACTGCGAGGTTGAGAATGCTAAGCCGTCTCAGCAGGTCAGTCGGCCTTTCTCTGGCAGGTGCGACACATCGTGCAGCCGAATTCTTTGCTGTGAAGTTGGTGTTGCTGAATTCGTCTTTTTCTGGCGGAGGTCTTCGAGTTGTCGGTGTTGATGCACCTCGCAGACTGGTATGGGGGGAAAGCAGCTCAGCTCATGTTGTGCTACTGTATTGTGGCTAACACAGTTATCCAGAGGTTTTGGTCATCGGAACTGCGAAATTTCCGTACATCTCTGGTCACCTACCACTCAGTTCTACATATCATAATGTCTTGTGTCGTAGCTTGTAAGGCTATTGGCTATTGTGTCATAACTGGCATTGTTGGTGCCATTGCTGCTAGTGACTAGTGTTTCCGTCATCATCGTGCTCATCTGTGTTTTTATCCTTAAGCTCATCCTGATTCTCAGCATCAGCAACATCTCATCATCATGGCCAGTCATCCTAACCATCATGTCTGCATCGTGAGCAGCATCATCGCAACCATCAGCATCATCATCATCATCATCATCATCATCATCATCATCTTCATCATACTCACCATCACTGCCGCCATCACCATAGAATGAACGTCACCATCTCGTCACGATTTTGAGAAGCGCCAGCTTCATCCTCTCCGGCATCACCATTATCACCGTCACCATGGTCATCATCATCTTAACTAGCACCATCATCATCATCACCATCACCAGTATCATGATCTGAACTTGCTGAGGGCAAGACGCCTGTAAATATCTGATCATATCTGCATTGGTTGCTTTTTCGAGAGGCAGAACTTCGATCTTGCATCTTGGAATGTATCATCAACCTCATCATCATGATCATAATCATCATCATGTCATCATTCTTGCTGCAACCATGCCCACCTTTTTCGGATCGGGTCTTTGCTGTTCCGAACTTCGGGCCCGGCGCTTGACTTGGTGCCTGCCGAATTGCGTTTATGGCTCGGACTTAGGGCTCTCCCGTTCAGGATCCAGGCTTCTGCTGTCCCACTCTTTGAGAGTTTATGGTTTGTCACTCCCACTCCGTTTTTTGAATGGTTTCGGGTTGCTCACCCACCACTCCATTCAGGGTTCAAATCTTGACTTTTCGGGTTCCGGGTTTTGCCAGCTCGCTCCTTTGTGGGGTTTACGGGTTTCGCAAAGCCTCTTTGGGATTTTTAGGGTTTGGGGCACCCCAGCCATTTCGGAGTGGAGGGATGTGTAGGGTTTGCTGCTGCCATCTAGGGTTTGGAGCTGGCCGTTCCTCACTTCTGCGGTTCACGGTTTCGCAAGTTTCTGCTGTTTTGGTCGGTTGCTGTGAGAGTCTGCTCGGGTTTGCAGTGCTCTGCTCCGGTCTGAGCTTTGCCAACGCCCAGTCCTTCGAGAATTCGGAGTCTGTCGCTCCCCGCTTGTTTTCAGATTTAGGGTTTGTGACTCGCTGTGCTTACAGAGTTCAGGGTTTGCCACAGCTGGGGGGGTGTTCTGGGCCCCGGCCTTGTCCGCTTCGAGTCTGTCCGTAATGCCCACGAGAAAGGGTCAGACTTTGGAAGTGAGGCCCCTCTTTGTTGCCCAGCACTCCCGACAGAAAGGGATTTATTGATGTGTATGGTTTGTTTCTGTCTCAGACTGCCCAGACACAATGTCGATGACATCAGATCTCGGAATCCGAAACAACCATGACATCGAAGTGCTTGCAGCATGCCGATTCACATCGAATGTGCACACAGTTACACACCGTTGCAAGTGCACCGCACTGCACCGGTATGATATCCAGCAGTCTGCATGTGTAACACTCAATGCACCCATGTGGTTGATGTAGCGACGATCCCGTGCAAACCGGGTTTACCGTTTACCGTTTGAGTCTTTGGGAGTACGGTGTAGGGATTACTGTCTTGGCTGCAAAGGATGCAGGATTTTCAAGGGACGGCCATCCTCATACAGCAAGACGAGAGAAGATGCGAACTGGGCGACACACGTAATCCGGGGCTGATCGGTGCCAGGGGCTCGGATTTCATCCATCCTAGTGAGTATTGCTCTGGGATCGTGTCGGGACCACCAGCAACCGCCCTTCACGTTTCGATGCCATCACGGTCGCGGCACCTGGAACAGCACGGAGTGATTTGCGTGAGAATGACAACTCTGGCAGACGCATGCATTCCGGATGTGGTTCTGCAGTGGTACAGTATCGGTCCCAAAGTCGGCAAGTGCCTGTTGCTTGGCAGAGGAATGAATGCTTGGTTCGAATACCTTACCGACCGCAGCGGCGCTTTGGAGGAGGGAACTGGGGTCCCGGCGCGTGACGCTGTGACACACCTTCAGCTCCAGGAGGACGAGATCAACGAAGCACAGCTTTTGGAAACTCGCTGTGCGATTCAAGCCTTGCTGCAGCGAGAGGCCGGACCCACGGACACTCTTCCTTTGAAGGATGTTGAACTACTGAGCCGAAGGTGAAGGCACTCTCCGAAGTCTGGAATGATGAGTCTCCACGAGCCGGAGCCCCGGGCCGTTGCAGCTGCTGCTTTGGATTTACTTCTTTGGTTGCCTCAGGTCTTGCTCATGGGGTCCTCACAGGGTGGCTCTGTGGCTTGTGATGCGGCGCTCGCATCACCGCAGAGAGTTGCAGGCGTGCTTCGTAAACGTTTGCACTTGTGTTGTATTTTGTCGAACGGAAACCTTGCAGAGGCATTGTTATGCTGCGCTCGCTGGTTTTAGGACCGCGGACAGACTGCGAGCATAGTTGGAAGTTCGAAAAGATGCGTTGTGATGGTGCTGCAAGGTTCAACCGCTACCCAGCAAGTGCAGAAGCAAGTTCCGCTTTTGGCGATAAGTGGCGATATCGATGCCCCTTGTCAGCAGACGTGGAGTATAAGCCTGGGAATGAAAAGCCAAGCTGCAACTAGAAGGACACCTTCGCTCTGGCCCTTGTGAAGCGAAGCTTGGGCAGCATCAAGCAGGAGGTCGAGCACGTCGTCATAAAGGGCCTCACCCATGCAGCAAGCTACAATGCTGAAGAAATCCTGGAGGTGGCAAGCTTTCTGTCTAGGCTCTTCGGCTTGGACTTCGAGAACGCCGACGCTTTGGGGCAGCTGCGGAATTTTGTGGCGAAGCAAGATGCGGCACTGAAGTCTTGGGAAGATCTGTCCGAGAGTGAACTGATGCTTGCGGCCCGGCTTGGCATCCAAACTGCGGCCGCTTGGGACGAGGGAACTGGGAAGATTTGGGAAGTGAACTGGGAGCAGTTATCCTTCCTTCAACGCCAAGCAGCCCAAGGCTTGGGCTTCACGCAGGAAAGCTGGAATGCAAAGGATTCCCGGATCCCCCAAGATCCAGCTTGTGACAAGAGCTGGGTGGACCTCACAGAGGAAGACCGGGCTTGGGCCTTGAAGCTTGGCGTCAAGAGCAGGAATGCCTGGGACAACGGAACCGCACCCGTTTGGGCAAAGGCGTGGAGAAAGCTATCCCATGCCGAGCGGAAGGCAGCCGAGCAATTGGGATTCGATGAAACTTCTTGGAATGGAACGTAGTACTGGTTCCTGGCCCAGAGGTCTCCAAGAGCAGCCTTTTTCGACATCTCCGAGGAATGGAACGAAATCCTTGCGTCTGCCAGTCGTGCCGGGGCCGAGGATGCTGGTGAGTCGAGACAGCCATCAGGAGTTTGACTCCAGCTACCCCAGAACACGCCGGATGCCTCGAAGACGTGCAAGCCCCCTGCCATCTGCTTGGGTGTGGGCCGAAAGCAACGTGGGGAGATACGGAAAGATGTGTTGAGTTGTTTTCTCATACGACTGGCAGGTTCACGGCCTGTGCGACCATGAAGTCTGTATGCCAGACAGAAAAGTCTAAGAGCGCGCAGAACTTGAGCCGCAAAACCCATTTGTGCCCATGTTTCGACTGGGCCCGTGCCAGGAGGAGCACGAACGCATCCGGGAAGAGGTGATCGACTTGAAGATAACAGAGAAGCTCTCAGTGACTCAGGTAGTTTGAGCAGTGGATGCTCACAGCCGGCTGCATCACCTTAAGGTCGATGGGTTGGAGACAGAGCGGGACTTCTACTTCCAAAAGCTCAGAGACATTGAAATCATGTGTCAAGCCCACATCTGAGCACATGCCAGATGTAGAGAGAGCAGGTCAGCTAGAGACTGAAGCTCAGGCATGGGAAGAGAACCCTGACAGCAGCATGACTGTCAACAAGTTTGTCGAGGAAGTGCAGAACATTCTCTATGCCAAGGACCAAAGCACGAAGCGAAGCGAAGCAATCACTTTACCCACCTCAACCCATGCCTTAACTTTCTCAGAGGATGACGAGATTGGAGGCGGTAGTCCTGACGCGGAGGCTAGCTAGTAGGGGTCGCTAGGACTAGGACCGCAGAAATGGATCACCGGGTCAATCCTCCGAAGCTTGATCGCACCCTGCGAACCCGGAATCTCAGCCCTGCTTTCTTGGGATGTAAGTGTTTTGGAACGCCGGCATTAGAATCTATGTGGTGAGCCTTTTTCAATGGGTCTAGATGGGTTCTTCACATGGAGGCATGAAACTCTGCCTCCGTGTGCGAAGCAGTTCAAGGCAATGCCTGAAGAAATACCTTCTGCTTCAGCACAGTTCCGGCGTGAGCATCAGCATTCGCATGAGCATGAATAGTACAGATTTGCTCCCTGTGATCCACCGTTGCACTCATGAACGGCAATGCGCGGTGGCTCGAGGGGTGCAGCAGATGCGCCCTGTTTACGGACTCACTCCCTTTACATACCAAGGCCTGTCTCGTTGCCTCGAGTAGGCCTCAGCGAAGTCTCGAATTGGCGGTTTGCGGGGAGGTCGTGACGGCATGTCGCGTTGAAGACCCTGGCAGGACTTCAGGTAGTTCTTTCTGTTTCTCTTGTGCGTCGGAAAGCTGCAGTCTGGAGAAACCTTCACGCGTCGGAAGGACCTTCTTGGTCTCGAAGAGGCTAAACACGGCGAGATCATGCGGCTGGAATGCAGCGGAGAACACGAGAGCTTGTCAGCGCAATTCAGAGCAGCGAGAGAGAGAGCCGGGCCCCGAGGTATTGTCCGAGTGGCAAAGAGGAGTGGAGTACGGATGAGCTTGGGCCGTGGCCTCGACCAGAGGATGACTTGCGGGCAGGGCCGCCTCAGCGCAGTGCTGAGGCTGTCCGAGCAGAGCCCGGCCCCACCCCCTCCGGGCAATTTAGCCGGGGGGCCTAAACAACGTCTTTCTGATCGCCGAAGGGGAGCGTTGTTCGGTGGAAGGATGATGGAACTCAGGTCCAAGCGGCTGGCTTCGTAGTTGGTTTGGACGAATTCGATGGTTGCTGCCTGAATTCTGAAAAGGGAAAGGGTGGCATGCGTCTGATCCCGGCTTGCTGATCTCGTCATTTGTTCTTCTAGGTGGTGTCTCCAGAAGTTCGGTGGGAGTGTGGCCTGGACGAATGCTTCTTTTGTCGCCAGTCTTGACATCGTAGTTCATTTGCTCGACCAGGCTTGATCAGTCCATGCTAGAGATGCGGCTGGCAGGCGACTTTTACAATGTGACAGCATCTCAGCTTCCTCTGCAGCACTCTTCGGACGCTCTTTTGGCAGATGTGGGAAGCGAGACTTACGGCTGTCTGCGAGGCCGGAGAATGTTCCACGAGGGGTGCAGCTGGCAGCGGACTCAGTGGCCATGTCTGGGAAGCTGCGAACACGCAGGTTTTCGCACGTCAGAAGCCTGCCAGGAGGATCCGGGCATGTTCCACACGCCATTTCCAGGCCCTTGGAAGCTTTCAAGTCCACCTCCACCCCGGGAAGACATTGTGAGCATGCCTCTGCAGGAGAGGAAGCTTCATTCCGGCTTGACAGAATGCCTTTTGATTTTGACCACAAGTCTGGCTCCGTAGTGCAGAAGGTGACGCTGCAGATTTGGAGATGGTTGCAGCTGAAGTCACATCTGTGGCATGGCAGGTCCAGGATTTTCCCGAGCTTTCTTTTCCCGCACACGTCACGCCAGCTCAGGAAGTGCCTTGATAGTGCATTAAGCCAGTTTCGTTTGCGCCGTTATGTTGACGAGGAGCCTCCAGGTGGCTGCCTGAACACCTGCGTGGAACTCCGAGACGTCCACGCAAGCGAGGCAGGGACACGGCGCATGCCTCGTCGCATTCCACAGAAAGCCGGATGTCTTGTGGGCGTAGCTTCCTTCAAATCTTCAAGGGTTTAAGGCTCCAAGGCTTCATTCGGCATCCACATGTGGAGGCCTTCACTTGCGCCTTCAACTTTTTCAAGACGAAGGTGGGCAACGGGAGGGAACAAATACGTTGCTGAGACCACTAAGCCAGGCATCAGCATCCTTCTCCAAAGTCAGAGAGCAGAAATTGGCCATGAAGGCCAAAGCCGCTTGCTGTTTTCTTTTCTTTTGGCCTCTCATCTTTTCCATCTGCTTGTGACATGACATGGCCGTCATCAAGCCCACAGCAAGCCGCGGGCGCCGGTGCCTCCATGCGAGCTGCTGCTGTGCATACTTTGTATCGTTCTTCATGGTGAGACGAACTTTGACCGGCTTACCGAACGCCGAGTTTCAGCTGCATCACCTACTCGCTGACTGTGGAACCGGCGTAGGAGGGCGTGGATCAGCCGAGTGGATAAATGGACACATTCTTGGTCAGGCTACACAAGCACTGCGAGCGATGAAGGTAGGCTTGAAGTTGACGGCAGCTGGAAACGAGATGGCGTGAGATCAATCGGGTCGGTTCTTAGGCACAGCAACGGAGAACGTGGTGTGGACGAGTCATGACGAGTCTCTCAGACATCGTGATGTTGTTTTCCATGCACCTGGAAAGGCATGCGTCCACTTTTCAGACACTTGACTTGCAGTCCCTGACTGCGAGGGCAGCGAAGATGACTCCCGGAGCTGGTCGCAATGATTCCAGCTGAGACGGTTGAACAATTTCAACCGAGTTGCCGTCTCGCTCTCGAGCAACTTCAGAAGCCGTGATAGCGCAAAAAGATGGGTGGTAGGTCGTTTCACGGATAGTTCACGAGCTTCGAGCTGTTAGAGCAAAGGCTGAGGCGAGTTGACTCTGTCGGCCAATCCTCTTGAGGCAACTGTGTTCCACACAAGCTGCAGCGGAGTGCTCGTCAGCTGTTTGCTGAAGGCTGGGGCTAAGATTGCCAGCGCGATAGCCCCACACGTTTCCATCCCAGGCGCGTCTCTTCTCAGCAGCAGAAGATCCTTCGAAGCTCCTCTTCGAGTGCACCGCGCAAGCTTTCAAAGGGCGGTGATGCAACCGATTTTCAAAGCTTAATGCTGCGGGGAATGGGGAATTCTAGGCTCAAGTTGGTCGAGCTTCATGATAGCTCCTGAGAGCCGTGGGTTTGGGCGGCCGTGCCATGGCATGGCAAGAGCCCCTGCTCGGGGAGTTCAAGAGCTGGTACACAGATGTTGAAGGTTTTGGGGGCTACCTGAAACACTTCATGGCGCACTATGGCCACTTCTTCAGGGAGAAGCAGGAAACGCACTTGTTTGTCTATAGCAAGCTTCACCAGGACGCTTGTTGATTCTTTCATTATGGCACACAGCCAACTACTATTTTCGCAAAATGACTTCTCGATATTCTTCGCGGCTGCAACTCAGGAGTTTAAAGACAACTTGGAGAAGGCCGTCGCAGAATGGTTGGCTGCGACGCGTGTCGGCATCGAAGCGTGCTGCAGCAGAGGGCATCTCCAGCCTTCAGCCGCCAGCCACAGGGACGCGACTGTGTCCTGACTTCTAAGGAAAGGCTTGACTGAGTGGCACCTGGAGGCCGAGACGTTGACATGTGGGAGCGGAGGGAGGGCACTCGAAGAGCATGTGCTCTCGTGTTTCTCTGGGTGTAGTTCGGCCTTGGCCTGGGAGGCCATGCTGGAGTATGCGAAGGAGACATCAGACGTGGAAACCTCTGGAATCGTTGCAGCCATGCTGAGGCTTCTCGAGTGCCCTGCAGCGGCTGCAGCAGATGTCGTCGACGGGTATAGTGATCACAGTGTCATTGTATTACCAAATGCAGGTACCACACATGGATCGAATACATTTTTGGACCGGCTGCCGTTGAATGATTGGCAGCAACTTGTAGTGTCTGCGAGCCCTTGCGACGGCTTTTGACATGTACTTGAGATTGTACGGCGAAGGACTCAAAGAAAGTCCCGAGGCAGGATGTAGATGGCCCTTACAGCAAGTGTCGCGCCGGTTTGGTCTTGGCCCTTCTTTCGCATCGCTGTCTTGCTCAGATCCAAGAGCTTCTGTCGGAGCAGTGGAGTCAACCCGGATGGGAGCGTATTGGAGACAGTGAAGTTGATTGGTCGGTGAAACAATGGGAGGCATGGACTGACGAAGCTACTCGACCTTACGTGGGCCAGGTTCAGATGGTCATGGACCAGTCCATGAGTCCATGCTGGGTGAAGCTGAGGAGTGGCATGCCTGGTGGGCATCCCGCCAGCAGTGGTCTGACGAGGAGTGGGAGGAATGGTGGCAGGCATTCCGCTCTGAGTTGGAAGTGTTGTGTTGCATCTGATTGCAATTTCTCCCTTCCGTAAGGGTCAGAGTCATTGGAGGGACGATTGGTGGGATGGGAAGTCTGAAGCTTGGTGGCATTGTTGAACGTCTGGAAGGCCTTTGATCCCTTGCCGTCTCTGCAGCCTATCAGAGTGCCTCGAAAGGACCAGTGGGCAGACAAGACTTGGACCTCCGGGGGTTATGGAGGTGAAGCAGGTCCAGGCAGGAAACGAGCTTTTGACAGTCCTGCACAAGTTACCGTCTTGACCAGCAGTTTTCCGGAAGGTGCTGGCTATGGAATACCCACAGCTCCCGCGGCACCAGTGGATCAGTAGAGCATCATTAGCTTTCATTTCATCGATCCGCATCGACTGCGACGAACAGCGTCTGCAAAAACAGCGAGTTGACAGACGGTTTCCAGCTCTGGACACAGAGTGCCCATGACTCATGAGTGTGCTGCACTGTGTAGATTTGAGTGGCCTCTGCTGGAACCTGTCGGCATGACAGGTTCCGACGCTGCAGCGGCGATGCACTTGCCTTCGCACATGCTTTCGAGGAGGCAATCCTGCATTCCGCAAGACGAAGTAGCAAGAACACGGGTTGCTTTTCTGCATGTGAGGGGACATTCTTGCTTTGACAGCTTCTTGCGAGCGCAGGCGTCCAAACACTTGCGGTCCAAGCTCATGGCGGACACCGTGAACCCTGCCTCGCTTGCCGTGAATTGGCCCAGGAGTTCGGAAGCTTCAGGCAGTGCCCTCCACAGGCAAGCTTGGAGTTTTGGCATGGCTCCTTACAGCACTTCTCTACTGGCCAACATTCAACAGCAAGCTTCGGAATCCGAAAGCATCTGATCAGACTTCTCGACACGGTATGCAAACAACTTGTCGCCGGGCACATAGTTATGAAGTTTGTTCGAAACAGTTTACCCAACTGCGAAAAAAGCACAACATCTATGAGCTACGAACAACAGGCTGGGGTACATGTTTCCTGCCGCCATTCTCTAAAAGGTTGAAAGGTGGTTCTTCATCTGGAACCGTTGAGCTCGGCTGCCTGCTACACATTTCCCAGTGGCAATCGGAAATGCTTGGATGTAGCTGGATAATCTGCCGATCTATGGCGCACCAAAATTTCTGTCCACAGAAATGCAGGAGTCGTTAGCAGCAAGCGGGAAGTGAATGACATCTCCAGAAGTGGGGTTGTTGTTATCGGGCGAGTGGCCACGAGTTGCCTCAGGGTGTTGGGGTCTACATCTTCAAGCCCACGGCTGGAAGCTTTACCCTAGTCCAGTTTGCTTTTTTCCATGCATACTAGGCATGGCGTCGTTGTTAGTTCCTTGATGAAGCGTTCGTTTTGTTCCGTAACTACCTCCTTCAGTTGACGCTTGTCGCTTCCCAGGGAGAGGACAGACCATTCGGTTTCACCAACGAGGGGTTGGCACTGCTGGCTGCTGTGTTTGAAACCTGAGAAGCGCAGATGTTTGCGTTAAGCTTCTCGAATCGGAGATGTCAGGACGTGAGCCGTGACAGCGACGCGATTCACGACAGGATCCCTGGCACAGGTCAGTTTCCGCTTTCTTCACCCGTGAATGTGTTGCATTGGGCAAAATCGCTGGTTTGGAGGTGAGGAGCACAGTCAAATTCAACCCCTCGTTGATATGGTTGCTGCTGGCAGTCCGTCCACCTTGGAGGTGGCTCGTGAGAGGGAGGATGCCGTAAGGAGGCCGTCAGGGATCACCTTGTTTGATGCCAAGGCTGAAGCAGTCGCAGCCCTGGCAGCCTTGGCACTGAGCGCTGACCCAGCAGGTCCCTTCGATGTCCTTTTTGCTTTGCTCTTGCGGGTTGTCTGGTTCAGGGACCACAGCCTTGCTGGCTGCGCTCCGAGATGTGCAGAAGGCAGAAGCTTCAATTTCTGTAGCTTCTGCGACGACAGTGAAAGAACCTTGTTTGGTTGCAGCTCGCTTTGTCGGGGGCTGGCCCAAAGCTCGCCTTCAGCCACACATGCGCACGCAACTTCTACACACACCAGAGAGGTTGAATGCTTGGAGGTGTGCGGCGCGCATGCAAGGCTTTCACCATGACTTAATTTCACGTCAGCTGACTAATCTTCCACGTGCAGATTTTGATTTTGTGCTTGTGCGCAAAGTGTAGCCTAGTGTGATGTCACACTGACATGCGTTGATGCCTTCCTAACGCATTTGCCAGACCCTTGTCGAGCTTTGCGTGAACAGCAGAACCTCTATCGACACAGCGTGCGCAAAGTCTCCAGCTGAAGCTTTAAGTTGCAACTTGGCAAAGACTTACACTGTGCACGACTCTTGACAAAGACAGGTACCCGGCGGCGAGACTTGTCTCCAAGCTGGTGTGCAAATCGGATGTAGATGCGGAGGTGTGGCGGTGTCGCCAAGTCGATTTCGAGATGCTTACATGTGTGCTCGCTTGTCGTTCCGTGCTGTTCCTGCGAGGCTCAACAGATCGCATGTGACCTGACCCGAGCAGTGTGCGGAGTCAGAGTCTCATCGCTCGAAGGGAACTTCCTGCGCACAGCTTTGGTGGAGAATCCAATGAATTTCGATTTCCCTAAACAAGGCCACACATCTTGATTCCTTGGTGCGTGGGGAGCTCGCGGAGGCAGTGCACGAAACCAGATGGAAGTTGGGCGAATGCACTTTCGTGGCGCAGCCGGGTGCAGTATGTCAGGCAGTTCGAGCCGTTGCTAGGAAACGCACTATGCAGCTCCCCATGCCCGGGTCCAGGATGGCCCGGAACAGCCGCGTTGTGGTGTCCCACGATATTCCGCGATGTTCCGAGGCACAGTGGTCTAGATGAGCACCAGTTGGCACAGGCCAGACTTCGTGCAAGTCGCGGAGACCCGCTGCTTGTGCGGGCTGCTTGTTAGTGCTTGGAGGCCTTACAAACACTGGAGGCCGCCATACTGTTTCGCAGCTCGCAAGTGGTCTTGCACTGGGCGAGTGCGCAGGAGCCTGGGCACTTCATGAAGCTGCAAGATGGGGTAGATGCCCCGGATAGCATCATCCTATCCTGGTTGAGAGATGATGATTCTTCCAGGTGATGGCGTAAGGCGAATCACCCCACAAGGCAATATCCACCATGCAAGTGGTCCGTGTACCACTATCTGACCAAACTTCCTGGTGAAGGATGCCACCATCGATGCCTTAGCTGCTCAATCCTCGGTTCGATTGCGGCCAGCCAGCTGATGTCTGCGCTGAGCTCCTGCGTGCCTTTGCTTGCTGATCTCTGTATCCTAGGTGCCAAGATACAGAGCAGCTCGCTGAGGTGTTAGCACAAAGAACCACAAGCCATCTGTCTTTGTGAGACGTGCCAGCTGTGATGCGAGCAGGATACTGGTACCGCCAAGCTTGCGAGAGCTGGTGACTGTGCCAGGCATCCTCCTTACATGTCTGGTGTCGCAGACTTCATGCCAGCTCTTCCGATGTCAGGACCCCGTATTGGCACTTGCACCGATGTCATCGAAGTGTGACTGCATCGTGGCCATTATCACTTGCTAGGCACCTCATCGTGCTTCTTGTCATAGAGTGTTTGTCCAGAACACTCGATGAGTCATTGGATATCTTTGCCCTCGAGATGTCGGCGGCATGACAGAGGTGCTTGGCAAGAGCGGGAGTAACTTTGCCCTTTTTCTTTGGTTTGGCAGACATGTCTTTCCTGGCCGGGATGCATTCAAAATCTCGACCGCTTTCCTGCCATGGAGAAGCCTGGACATATTATCCAGAGCTCAGGCACCGAGGTCTGGGCTATTCGGCTATTCCATGCACGCTACATGAAACGACGTGCCACGTCTATCTCGCAAGTCCCAATCACACTTTGTGCTCGTCTGGTGTCGCGTGAATGGAGCTTTTGCTCTCCACAATGGAGGCGATTGCAGGAATTTACATTTGAGGTTGAGATGCAGAGGTCTGTTCTGCCGTAGACACTCACTTTCGCTAGACTAAGTGCAGAGTTCCTGGCTGGCAGAACAGAACAGCAGAACAAGGCACCATAACAAAAAAGGCTTTTGGCTTGCATGCAGACGTAGTCAGGTCTTCTTTCATTTCAGGCGGCACGAAGGTGCACCTGCCAATGCCCCCTCGCGGGGCCCGGCTTTTGGCTCAGGATGCTGCTGGATTTTGTATACAGCTGCTTGGCTGCAGCATGATGACCCAAGCCTTCGAGACATCTGCACACCGAGATTGTCGATCTGTTTGTTTGGCTTTGCTGCACCGGAGCCAAGGTCAATTCACATGCAGCACCTGTTAGCCTGTACCTGTATCACCCAGCTCCACTGGCTGCTTGTAGCATGCGCATGCGGAGCATGCTGAAGTGCCGCCTAGTTGTCAGACTGCTATGCAAGTTCACGCTAGATTTGTGGATAGGTGCTTTGTTTTCCAATCACGCTTTTGACAGCCAGCATGGAGTTGAGCTTTCCATCTTTGGACAAGCGTCTGGCATGCTTCATGAGACTCGTCATAGGTGGCCGCAAGGTGCTCGCGTGAACAGGAGTCTCGGACACTCGTCTACCCGATAGCTGGCATGAATCAGCCTTGCGGCCTTAAATGCGCCCAATGCGCAGAGAAGCCCCGATGTGATTTTGCAGCCGCGGGTTGGGCTGCTTTGACCCCGAGTGGAAGCCCTTGCCGATTGCATCAGGATGTTGTCGCTTAAGCTTGGATTCCTACCGTCGTCTGACATCAAGCAGCACCGTTAACGCCAGACATACGAAACATGCCAACTTTCGATTCCTTCAGCCTGTGCAGGAGGTTCAGTAATCATTGAACTCTGGAGCTTCTGGGGGGTTGTGCATGCTTGAGAGGCTTTCCTGGTTCCCGATGATTATTATGTCTTATTGTTCTTGAAGTCCGGAAATGCGGTGGCGCGATCATGCCGCAGAGAACGAAGAACGATCTTCCCCTACTTCGGCGAGAGGGGCCGTGCCCGGATCTGATGCAACAGGCAAGTGGCTTGTTAGTGGAGTGGCCAAATTAAGCAGGAGCTTCAGAAACGAATTGCGGACTGTTGTCTTCCTGCTTGAAGTGCAACAGACTCAGCTGGAATACCCATCGTTGGAGAGCAGGGCATCAGAACAGCCTGGGCGCAAGCCTAAGCACAGGTCAGCCCCAGCAAGTCAGACTCTGGCCCGCTGCCACTTCAAGCGCCCGCTTCCACATCGGAGCCAAAAGTCAGGATACGCCTCCGATGCGTGGTACTAGTAGGTTTCTTCTCCTCGGTTTCATGCAATCCATGACAAAGATGTCGATGTTGTGATTTCGCAGCTATTTTCCAGACAAGATTCGATCCAACCGCAGGCCGCAGGCAGGCCTTGCCATGGCAGGCAGCCAAGTTCTCTGTTGGGCTGACCCTGCTCTTGACATGTGTATGTGAGTGTTAATTGGTGAAAGTGAGAAGTGAGGCTCTGCGTTCTCTTTGCTGGAGTCCTACAGAACGCGCCTGAAAGACTCGAAGCCGAACTCGCCAGCTCTCGAGTCTCAGGCCGGCCAACAGCCAGAGCATGGGAGCTGCCCTGAGAGAAGTTGCCGTCCTTTCCTGTCCGTTCCTGCCCCGTGCTTTCAAGAGCACAGTGTCAGGCCCGTGGCCTAGGAACAAGCTCTGTCCGGCTCTCCGAGGTGGGAGTAGCACGGAGTACCGAGAGCCGGCACAGGTGTGGAGAGCTGGTAGCGGGATTGCCAGGGCCCTCCATGTGGCACCGCGTGCGCCACACCCACGCAGTGTGGCGAGAGCACGCCGAAGGCCTTGTGCTCGCCACTCGCATTGAGAGCCGTTCTGTGCCGGTTCATGACCTTCTTTACCGGCTCCCTGGCTGTCGCCCTCCCTCTCTCTTTCCTCGAATCTTGTTGTGCGGGGTTCATGCGAATCGAGTCGCTCCCTCCCGCGCAAAACTCGCACGGAGCCGATGCAGGCGGACATAGCCCACAAAGCTGTCGGTAGCACTGGTGCCACCTATGGGTCCGACTCTCTTGCATTGAGTCTTTGGCTTGATACCTGCTAGCAGCCCAGAGTATGGCCAGGTATTCGAAGAAATTCGCCGAGGGATGGGAGCGCGTCTTTGCGAAAAGAGGCCACATCCTCAAAGATGGCAGCTGTTTCGATGCGTGTCTGTGGGTGCTCAAAGGCCAGCAACATGCTGAAGTCCAGAAAAAGGAGAGCTCTGTGTGTGCGTGTGTGAACAGCTATCGGATTAGCATGATCTTTGGGCTCGAGGACGTGACCTTGGACGGCTGAAGCGAGCGAGTCCTGGCACCACCACGCGTCACTGCGTCATAGACCACAATCCGCAGGAAAGACTGATGGCTGGCTTGTGCTGTTGCATGCCAGACTTCTGCTCAATCTCCATTCCCTAGAGCCTACTAAATTAGCAGGGAAGGTTACACATGCCTTTTGACTCTCCAAGTGCGCCAGTGATTCAGCTCGAATGCGCATACGCAGAAGGGTAGTATAGAGATGGCCTCGGAAACGGGCCTGAGAAGATGGAAACTGTGTTGTCCTCAGATTTAGCGGTTGCAAGCTGTACCAGTGCTCCGTGCTTTGGCAGAGGCGCTGTCCGACACTCCGCTGCCCGATTCGCAGATCGCGAGGTGAGGTTGGTGACGTGATTCATCACGGGATCTGGAATGATCTGGTCTGGAATGATGTGCCACGACAGAGGTACTAATGCTGCACAAGCTTGCCATCTTGCCGAATCATCGAAGGCTGTTTGGAGTCATCCAATTCTCTGCAGTCATCATCATCTGTTCGTGTCTCTATTGGAGGCGGTGACAACCACTTCGCCCCCCGCCCAGGAGAATGAGGACCTTCAGTATTGGTGTGTCTGCTCCCGTGGCAGAGCTGACCTGGTCTCCCATAAACTCTGGCCTCCCATGTATGACACTTTACTGAAATCTGACTCAAGCGAGGATAGTGGTGAAGGCCTGAATGAGTCAGCAAAACTACGTCGTTAACAGCATGCCTCCCCATGCAGCCAACAAAACAGCCACGTCCGCTTTAGTCCGAAATCCAGCAGAGTTGAGGAAAGCGCTGAATGCAGGGTTTAGGTTTTCGGGTTTAGGGTTTGGGTGGGACTCTGCTGCTCCCGAAGTCCTCTGACTTGCATCATTAACACCTTCTTTTTCCGGTGCTGCTGCTTTCGACTCGATTTACCGACTCGGTGCACGTGTCGGACGCAGGCTTTGACTGCTTCTGTTACCGGTCACAAGTGGCGCTGGATCGTGCCAGGAGGAGGGGGAGGAGGATCGCCTCTGCCGCTTTTGTTTCGAGGGCGACGAGGCCTGGAAATTCAACCCACAGGTCTCAGCTGCTTGCTGGCATTGCCAGGAAGACGAGCTGATCTCCCCATGCCGATGTTCAGGAGGACAAAAGTATGTCCACTTGAAGTGCCAGATCCCTTGCACTCGTCATGCTCGGCGGTAAGAAATGCTGAGTGTGCTCGTGGCCAAGGTTTACGCATGTGGCAACGAGCCGTGCTTGTTTCTCAGCCTACTCATCCAGACCTGTACGATCATGATACAAGACAAAGGCCGCAGCCAGACTGCCATGCTGCCAAGGTCCCTTTCATGTCGGTCTGAAGTCGTGTGTGCAGGATCTGCAATGTATGCAAGACGGAGTTCACCTGCCATCCACCGACGAGCACGCGTCTCTTTGAGGGTGACATAGGGCATCCGGCTTGCTTGTGCACCGCTTGACTTTTCTAATCCACACCTTGTTAAGGGGCTGAGCTTTTGGCCTCCTTCACGGGCCCGGAGCTGGCTGCCTTGATCGAGGATTGAGCCGCATTGCATGGCGTTGCCACAGTTGCTGTAGCCGCTGTAGCCCTGTAGCTATTGTCTCTCCTCGCATTGATTGACAGCTGTGCAGCCCGCACAGCCTGCAGCAGTACATGCCCTTTTCGTGGGCAGGAGCGCTGCTTCATCGGCTCCGCCGAGAACTTCAGCCGGGAGCTGGAGAGACAGGCACATGACATGTTGCTGACCTGTGTTTAGGTCGTCCCGGCAGCAAATAGAGAATGACTACACTTCTTCTTGTGATGCACATCGGCTTGCGCATGCTGG